ATTAATGTCCTTGACCCACCTCAGTTTAAATAGTCACCTGTTTTGGGACTTCTGTTTTTAGTAGGATCCATAACGTGGATAATCCTATTAGGACACAACTCTCAGGCTTTTGATAGTCTCTTTAATATCCCCTTTTGCCATGCTTTCCTCTCCACAGGGAATGCAAGAATAAAACTCCTTAGTAAACTTCTACTAAATGATATCACAGAAATAATCTCTTGCTGCTGGATCTACCCAACTCACTTTTTAAGACAGACCAGGAAATATTCTGAATTGTTCCTCAAGATGCCTTGATTTTCCTTGACCTTACTTTCCTAAAATCACTGGGTTCGTCTCTCTCAGGACCACTTCATGGTCATCCTGTTCCTTGTCATATTTGGCTCTTGCCTCCTCAACCTAGTACCAAATTTGTCCATTCAGGGTTTCAGATGATGGTCCACGCTACAAGCCATGAATTTCCTGGCAAATTCATCTAGCTTTTTCCCTTTGAACAGGCAGCTCAACATTTTTCTGGGATACAGACAGTAACTGTTTTCCCATTGTCTGCTGACAGGTTCTCACCAGCCTGTCCAATCAATCTCAACTTCCCAAGGTAATCAGAGAGCCCATAATGCCCAATAGGAAGGACCTATAGCCCCTTTTAGCAGGAAACAGCTATAAGAAGAGACCTCCACTCCCCCATCATCCCATAAAGGATTATGAGGATTATGTCTCCCAGCGGGAAAATGAGGGAGGAGATTCTAGGCTTGGCTTCTGAGCACTGTACATAAAACCAATCAGAAAGGGCTATTTTCAATACCTCATTTGAATCAGCACCAGATTCAGGACCAAGCAAAAAAGTGCTATTTTCAATTCTTCCTATACATCTTGTGGGAAGCCAAATGACTCTTGATAGGGCAGTTTAAACCTGGAACCAGGCCAAGTGAGGTTTTGTGAGGACAACTGTCCTCATGTCTTATTTGCATGAAAAACCAATCCAAGAATTTCAAATAGAAAATATCCCATTCCCTTATCCTCAGGGTCTCTGTGAGTTTGTTTGACACCTCACTCTTGCTCTAAAGAGTGTACTTCTTTTCCACCTGCAATAAATGTATGCCCTCATTACCTTAAAGGAGAAGGAGATGAGGGAGAACAAGGAGAAGAAGGAGAAGGAGAAGGACAAGAAGGAGATGAAAAAGAAGAAGAAGGAGAAGGAAGAGGGGGAAGAGGAGGAAGGGGGGAAGGACAAGAGGAAGAAGAACAAGAAGAGAGAGGGAGAAGAAGATACCTGTGTTGTGGCACACTTCTGTAATCCCAGCACTCAGGAGGCCAATGCAGGAGAATCACCACAAATTTGAAGCCAGCACAGGCTACATAGTGAGTTCAAGGTCAGCCTGAAATACACAGTGAGATGTGTTCCGCCACAAAAAGGCAAAAACAAATACAAAACAAAAACAAAACAAACTAGAAATGCTTGAGCTATTGATAGTAGAGCACCAATATTTTCTGCTTTTAATGTTGATGGTTATAGCATTTTGATGTTAGAGAAATACTTCAACTTCCTAGTTGAAGTATTTGAGAGTGATAGAATACCAACCACTCTCAAATAGTTTAAGAGGAAGAGTTGTCTGTGTTACTCTTCCAATTTCTCCATAATTTTTTTAACTATATGATGGTAACCATAGCTATAAAATTCTTTAGCAGACTTTAGGGGTAATAGGAATTGCTGTCAAAAACAGTTGCAAGTCCTTTGTCTGAGGCACAGCTGGCTAATTTTTTTCTCAATTTGTGGGTTTTCTTTTTACTCTGTTGGTGATTTCTTTTGATGTGCAAAAACATTTCAATAAGATGAGATCCCAGTTGTTCATTCTTTGAAGTATTTCCCGTGTAGTTTGGTTTTTGTTCATGAACTCTCTGCCTACCCTAGGTCTTCAAGATTTTTACCTACTTTCTCTTCCAGTAGATTTAGTATTTGTGTTTTAATATTTAGATCTTTGATCCATTTTGACTTTAGTGCATGGTGATAGACATGGGTCTAGTTTTAGTCTTCGGCATGTGGAAAGTCAGTTTTTCCAGCAACATTTATTAAAGAGGCTATCTTTCTTCCTGTGAACATGTTTGGCCCCTCTGTCAAAGATAAGGTGACTGAGTGTGTTTGTAGTTGTGTCTGCATCTTCTAATCTGTTCCATTGCCAGTACCATGCTGATTTTATCATAGTAGCTTTGTAGTATAATTTCAAGTCAAGGATTGTGATGCCTCGTGCCTTTTTTTTGTTGTCCAGGATTGCTTTGGCTATTCTAGGTCTCTTCTGGTTCCACATAAATTTTAGGAATATTTTCTCTGAGTGTTACTCATCTATAAAAAAAGATAAATTTGAGACTTCTATAGGTAAATGGATGCAATTAAAGACTATACTCATAAGTGAAATAAATCAGACCTAAATGTGTAAACATCATATTGTCTCCCTAGTGTAAGAATCTGGAAGAATAAATAAAATCCAAAAGATACAATAGATACTGTGAAAGGGAAAGAACAACTGGCATGAGGGAAAGGAGAAAAGAAAAAAAGAAGGAAGGGAAAAAATATATATATACACACACAGGATAGCTAGGACAATTGTACTGCTGATTTCTACTGGTCTATTGAAAGGAACAGTTAATGCTTAAATTCTTTTTTCTTCTTTTTAATTTTTTGACCAATTTTGCATGCTTATATCTGAACAACTAATTTGAATACAACAATAGGCAATATAACAACCATTGCTGAATTCCTATCATCTTGTTTAGTGAAATTCTGTACCGTTTCTAATGGTTTTTTTATTATTATTTTTTATTCTCTTTTAAAAAATAAAATAAAAATAAATAGTTGCAAGTATTCCCACAATGAAGTTATCTAGAATCTTAACAGAGAATCTTACCACATTTTTAAGTACTCCATCCCCAAAAGGGACCAGCTCACCTTTTTTACTCCCTAAACTCTAGTACTTAGGCTGAGCCTGCTCCATTGATTTTCACGATGCCAAGTCTCTTTTCAGTAGTAGTCAGTTGCCTCTCTGAGACAGTGTTGAGGGTAAGGGCAGAGCATCCTTAAATCATGAATTCCTTTGTTCCCAGGTGGTCTTTCTTTTCTTTTGTCAGTGCCTTCTTGTTTTCTAACATCTTCACAATTGTATTTTTACTGCAATTACATGGTTGATAATGGGAATGGATTTCCAGGTCACAGAACATAACCAATCATTTCATGAAAACCAGGAGAGAGTTCTGATAAATAAATAAGCAAGATTGAATTTTACTCCTCCAAAAATCTGAAGCTCAGAACCAATCCCTGCTTCTAGTAGGATCATTCAAGCAAGAGAAATATTTGGAGGTCAAATATCAAAATATCTCATAAAATTATTATAGACAGCTAAATTAGATAGAAATCAATATGCAGTCAGAGAGGGACTGGACTCTTGAGGAAGTCAGTGCAGAAGATGAAAACACATCAAAATTGTGGCTAGAGGTGAGTCTGAAGAGGGCCAGGCCTCAAGTTAGAGACTAATATCCAGGGCTGTGAACTTTCCTAGAGATAAACAGCAACATGAGCTCATACTCTAAATTAGCACTACGTGGTCCAGTGTCCCCAGATTAACATCTGGTTACTTATAAGTAACCAGAACATCTGGATCCTCTTCTAAGAATGCTTTTGTCTTTCCCTGTACCCTTATGACCTGACTCATTGGGTCAATATTAGCTAAGTGACTATACTTGTAATGCTATACATTGATTGTAGTTTGACCCATGTGATTTTGCTGCATAAATTACCCTGACAAAGAGCCTCAGCAGCCACCCACTTAGAACTGCTCCTGGAAATCCAGAAGCTATTCTTATTTCCAATAAAATTCTCCTAAGATCCTCCTTTGGTTCTCAACTGAATTCCTTGGTGTTGTGACACCTTGAACTTGGCATCTGACATCTGACATCTGACAGATTGAGAGTTTTTTCCCATATCAAAATGACTTTGAGAACTCAATACATGATATGAAAGGGAAAGAAAATGCTCAAAGAAAGGAACAACTGGGATGAAGGAAAGAAGAAAAAAGAAAGAAGGAAGGCAACAGATAGATAGATAGATAAGATATAAATATGTATATAAAAGAATAGCTGGGATAACTGTACTGCTGATATCTGATGGTATATCAAAAGAAACAGTTAATGCTTAAAATTTTTTATATTCTGACCAATTTTGCTTACTTACATCTGGTAATCTGAGCAACAGACTTGAGAATAACAATATGTAGTATAACAACCACTGTTAATTCCTATCATTTTGTTTTGAAACCCTGTATCACTTTGAACATGCTTGCTTTGTTTTGTTTATGTTTGTGATGTTCTGCTATTATGCTGCTACTGTTCTTTTTTTCCTTTTACTACTCTCTTAAAAAAAAAAATAAGTAATAAAAAATGACTTTCAGGAACCTCAGACACCATGATGAAATGATTTTGGCTAGTACCAATTATAAACCTTAGGAAATTACTCATGAATTCTGAGTATCAGTCCACTGCTTTCTTCTCAATAGTCTGAATACTGTATTGGAGCCCAGCCCCAAAGCCTGCTAGACTTTTGAAATTGATCTGGGATCAGATCGCTAATGTCTGTCTATGGTTAAGGCTGCCTTCCACACTCTTTTGTGACTTTATAACTCTATCCCTGTGACTCCTGCTGACTCTTCAGGGGGCTGAAAAGCTGGGGAGGACTCCGTTTGCAAAACAATAGATGAGACCACTGCCAAGAAGTGCTTGCTCACCTCTCCTTCAACAGCAGGGGAATCTCCCTTTCCTTTCTTGGGGGAAGCTTAAGAAATATTCAAAATGAAGCTGAATCCTTCTCACCAACCCCAGCCCACACCTCCCAGCAAATGAACTTGAAAAAAAACCCTGGTTTGAAAAATTACCGCAAACTATATTGTCATCAAAAAAAAAAAACTTCCTATATTTGAGATCAGAGAACAGAGTGGTAGCACAATTTCCTGGCTGAACACACCAGTGTAATACTTAAAGAGAACAACTCCGATGACTGTCATATTCACTGGATGGACCGGCCAAGATGACAGCCCAGGAGGGCTGATCCTCTCCACTGGTGTCCTCCCAGCACCATGCCAGAAAGAGGCTAAGAGCCAGCCAGCATACCACAGAGAACACCTCCTCTTTACTGCCCTAAGCTGATCCCAAGTGCCAGGAAGATGGAGCCACACTTGCTGACGTGGGGATTATTCACATTCATCGTGATACCCAGCTGCATGACAGGTAAGGGGCCATGAACTGTCCTCTGAATCTTGGGAAGGCTCATGAATATTAGCTCTTCCAAGGATCAGAACCAGAAAGGGCACAAAGGCAAAAATTCTGAGAAGGGAGTTGAATCTTGCCTATGACCTACTGGAGCTTCATTTTATGCCTCAGTGGCCACTGATCTATAAAGCACTGAACGGGGCTCTCATATTATACACACCCTTGATAGTTAATCCAGGAAGGGACAGAGTTTGGTTTTCTAAGCATCCCCCCCTCCCACCTCCTCAAATTATAATATAATACTAAAAATCTCTTATGGATCTGAGTCCAGGTAATTTGTCTGAGACCTCAGTAACTCATATATCAAACACTAAGATATTTAACACTTGAGAAAAAGTTTAGCTTTAAGAATGGATTCTTTGCTTCTTCTTCTTTTTTTTTTTTTTTTGAATTCTTTGCTTCTATGGCCTCTAAAAATAATACCTAGAAAACTTCTTGCAAGCAACTTTATAGAAATTTTAGAAAATATCAACATAATTTCAGAACATTACTTTTTTCTACATTTCTCTGTTTATCTATGATATGAATGTGTATAATGTGTACGTATGCAAATTTTTATCATCCTGGTTTTTCTCAGATTTTTTTAAAAGACATAGAAACCACCAATTTAATACCTCAAGCCATCCTTCCTAATTGTGGATTTTCTAGTATCTCCCTTTGACAACCCAGGAAGGTAGATAAGGTATAAAAGTACGTATTTTTGAAAGTCTATAATTTCACATCCTTGATTTCTAGAAATAGACTCTTGATTGACTGCAGGGAAAAAAAGTGTTGAGAAGAGAAACAATGGCTGTCGCGCCTTTTCCTCACAACCGCTTTCTCCAGAGCGTTCTTCCATCCTGCGTTTTCCCCCTTCACTCAGCCCAAGCTTGCTCTGCAGAGCCAGTTTCTTGCCCAACTCTTTACTTTTACTTTCTCAAATAAACCTTGTGACTATTAAAAAAAAAAAAAAAAGAAAGAAAGAAAGAAAGAAAAAAGTGCTTGCAAAAGTTAGTTTGTTTGTTAGGGGGAAGTGGCTAGATTGAGCAGGGCGCTATGCTGACCCACTTACAGGCGCTTGCTCACCCTGGAGTCGAAGCCGTGATGGTTCTAGGAAGGTGTGTAATGCCATTTCTTCCTCAGCAGGGTCTTTGCCAGATTGGCTCAAGCCAAGACAACAAAAGCTTTACAATCAGTCATGTCCTATCTCTGGGAACAGAGTTCAAGCAAGTCTGTGTCATTACTCGCCATAAATGCTTTATCTGGGGATCAGAATGGTCTTGGAGACAGCAGAGCAAGTGAAGTATCACATGGATACTTTCTTTCACTCAATTCTGCAGAACTCTATCGAATACTTCTTAACTCCCTTTTCAACAGTGTAGGCAATAAAAACATGAACATAACACGGTGCTGACCCTTAAAAAACTTACCACCTCACCAGGAGGAGAGAGGCGTAAGCAGACTAACAGTGGCCAGCTGGGCTGTGATGAGGCACACAGGACTGTGGGGCTGGCAGAGATGGCTTTGGGAAGGTGACACGCAAACAGAGCCCCGAGGGACTGGGACATTTCTGCAAGCGTAGACCCCAGATAGGAAGGACATACAAAGGCTCCGCAAAGCATTAGGGAACAACAGGCGGCCTGCTGTGCTCGCTGCACTAAATAGGGATACGGGGATATTATGAATTAAGACTTGAAAGGTAAACCTGGCTGTGGTGGTGCACACCTGTAATCCCAGCACTTGGGAGGCTGGGGCAGGTGGGTCGCCATGAGTTCGAGGCCAACCTGGGCTACATAGTGAGGTCAAGGCCAGACCAAACTACATAGCAAAACCCTGTCTCAAAAAAGCTAAAAAAACAAAACAAAACAAGACTGGAAAGGTAGGGTGGGGTCAAAGAAATGATCCAAAGCCTTCGATACCAAGTTGAAACTTTTTAAAAATTCATTTAGTAAGCAATAAAGAACTACTAGAAAACTTCAAAAAATATGATTCCTAAGAACCTTCCATGTGCCAGATATAATTCTTATCCTACTCTTTATAACCACTCTGCAGTGTGGATATCGTGAGACACTAGATGAAGAAGAACCCAGAACTCGGAACCACAGAGGCCCTGACGGTGCCAGAGCTTCTGGGCTTGTGCCCTTGGTGTTCACCGTCGACAGGGTCAGAGGTGACTCTAGCACAGAGTGGCGGGAGATTAAGTGCTGGGAAATAGGCTGTGAGGCTCTTCAAATAGCCCAGAGGCCAAAGAGATTGAAATGAATTGAATTTCTGGGACCAATAGATGGTGCAGGAATCGCTCCCAGGGAAGAAAGAACCTCATCTCAGACTTTTTCCTCCAGAAGGAATCTAGTCTTAAGATGCTAAGTCTTTTTTAATCCTTAGGGATGGGAGCCCTCTTCACAAAATCAAACGAACAGTCAAGAGATACAATTTCTAGCTGATTCATAAGGCAGATTTTTCATTCTGAAAATTTCCAAAGCCACCATTTAAAATTGTGATGGGGCGCAGGGGATGTATTAGTCAACGTGAATGTTTTTATTCTCTATATTACTGGGTCCTGGGATGTGGTTTGAAAGAGAATTCTCCTGATGTTGCCAACACAGCACATTATTCAAGGCATCTTTCTCAGAACTGTGGAAATTCTGAGTGTTTACATGTCTCTTAATAATCTCTCTTTCATTCTAGGAATTCTGTGATCAAATCTTTATCCCCTACACTCAAAAAAAAGCACAGAAAACCATTATGGCTATATGTGTGTCTAATTATCACTTCTTGTAAAGACTATTGCCGATATTAGAGTTTTCCACCTTCAGCTTTGCCATTAAAACACAAAATGTTTTACCCTGCACGTTTAACCCTTGAGTTGCTCTAGATCCCCCCAAATTATTGCTGCTGTCTTTTGTTCATCTGCAAACCAGAGGTGAAGAGGTAAGATTTTAGTAAGCATTGGGAAAACCTTATAAAACAGCCACTACTTTCTTTAAAATAGTGTGTCTTGAGTATGCAGTTTGATATATTGTCATACATATGCTCTCTTTTGGACTTGAAAACTGAAAAGAAAAGGCTCGACTTTACCGTTTGGTACAAAGCAACTGATCTCACTGATGCATCAGTTAGAGAGGCTAGAGAAGAACTGCTGGTGTACTCTATAACTCCATAATACTCATTATGAAGTCAGGGATTCTTAGAATTTATTTGGCCAAAGCCTTGGTATTCTGAAATATTTTTAAGATTTAAAAAAGAAATTGTTTTGAAACAGAGTCTCACTATGCAGGCTGGCCTTGAACCAAATATGTAGCCTAGTCTGGCTTCAAACTCATGGTGACTCTCCTGCCTCAGCCTCCGAAGTATCAGAATTACAGGTGTGTGCCACCATGCACAAGCCTTGGCATTCTGGATCCTGCTGTGTGATTTCTTGTGGAAGTCATTCCCAGACATAGACACCATTAAAGCAGGCTATTCCTCAGCACAGTGGCTGTTCACATGGATGCCCTACTCCCTTAATTGTCCAGTGATGAGTAGAAATTTTACAAATAAATAGAATTCCTCTAGGAAATGGGGCATGTCATCTGAGATGTGCAGGGAATAGAATCGGGATGAAAATTAACTTTGCAGAAAGAGGAAAATGGAGCAAGGCACTTTCTAGTGATATTGTTGGGGACCAAAGAAAAGAAATGCATAAGGCATGTCAAATTGCTCTCTGTGAAGGGAAGTCGACCAAGAGATCTCAAAATTCCTTTCCAGGCCTATCACTCTATGTCAAGAATTCTGAAAAGAAAAAAGTTTTACTTCAAAAGGACTTTCAGCTGGTCATGGTGGCTCATGCTTATAATCCCAGGAGGCTGGGGCAGGAGGCTGTGGAGGTTGAGGCAGGAGGATTGCCACGAGTTTGAGGCCAGCCTGGGCTACATGGCAAGACCCTGTCTCAAAAACAAAGCAAAACAAAACAAAGAAAGTACTTTCAAGTGAGGGTACTTTTGGAAGTAGAAAAATTTCCAGCTGAAGACATACTCAGCAGGGGCAGGGTTAAGAGATCATGAATGTCAACAGACCAAAGCCTGAAATCTCGTTGTAGGTTATTTCCAGCTTTTAAAAGGTACTGCCCAACACCGCAGCATGACCCGTTGCTTCCGTACTGCTGCAGTGGTAGGTGTCAGGGCAAAACTACTACATAGACAGACCAGCAGCACTGTTACTTGTTTGCCTGGTAAGGGCATTTCTGTCCCTAATGTCCTTGTTTCTCACAGCAGAGGTTTACATGAGTGGGACCTGCCTCTCTTCTCCTTATCCTGAGCCATTCACTATGGGGAAAGGAGAAAGGACCTTAATTCAATTGATTGCTTCAAAAAGAAAAGCCCTTCATTTGTGAGCATGTTCAAGTAATGATGACACTAAAATCCAGGCCTTTTAAACTCTAGCGCAATATTCCTTGTGCATCTTTCCATTGATTTCAAGTGATACTCCTTCATCTATCCACTCGTGCATTAGAATCACGGAGATGAACAAGATTATAGTCTTTTACCTTAAACCGCTTATGGCTTAACAGCGGAGAGAAACATCTGCTGAGCAGTTCCTATCCTAAAGACTGCCCAGGGAAAGCTAACTAGATTTCAAACCAGTTAAGATCCCATCACTGATTTCTCCATCATGTTTTCCAGTAAGTCGCTCATTTAGGGGGAAACGATATTGCAATTGTCTCTCGGACTTTTTTGTGTTTCTCCTCTAAGATTCTTCAGATAGCTTTTGGCTACTGGGCTGACTTTAAGATATTCTGCAATTTATTTTCATCAATAAGAGCACACAACTCCCTGGGGAAACGTTTTTGGAGCCATGGTTCCCAGCACATTAGAGTGTGCATCTCGAATATTATAAAAGTGATGTTCCAGATATTAAGACCAAGGAAGTCAGACTCTCTGGGGAGGAGAGCCAGAAATAACACTGGCATTTGCTGTAAATTTCTCACATGACTTAAGATG